CCCTCCCCCAACCTGCTAAATAATATAAAACATTTAATGATGAGGTTTGAAAGGACAACTGTGCTGAGGATCCCCAGTCTTACCAGGGGATTTCTTCTAAACAGCCTAACTGCCTGCAGGTGCCCACTGTGGGCAAAGAACATGGGATCAGGGGTCCGGAGACCCAGGTTCTAGTCCTTTGCTACCGCTAACTTGCTGTTGCTATTGTCTTGTCTCCTAGACAGGGCTAGGACTTGGGTGAGGGAAGTGGGGTGCCCTGGGTACAAAATGTTAGGAGGCGGGCCCCACTCCAGTCCCGACCCTGCTCTCAACCTCTCTGAGCCTTATCTCAACAATAAGAGGTCATCCTGGAGACAGCTAAGGTCCTTCCAGAACCAGCCTATGATGATGTCACTGAACTTCCAAAATTGGTAAGTGACATAAATGGGAGTGAGGCTTTCAAAACAGCATTCGTAGGTTATCTGCAGACCTGTCACATCTATGTGAAATCTGGCCAGTACTAGTGATTTATCAAGGGCAGACCACTCACGGAAAGCGCTTTCAGGATGTGTTCCTGACATCTTTAGCCTGGCATTTTTGGCAGCATATCTACTGAACTTCTGATTTGCTACAAGTAGTCAGGAGACAATGTCTGAGAATCTCTTCCCTTCTCCTGCAATACTGTTGAAACAAAATTAAATAATTTATTAACTAGGTTGTCTCATTTTTGTTTCATTTGTCCATACTCTTAATTTTTTTCCCATTAAACATTTTTCCGACCCAAGATGGCATGTCGGGGAGAGAGGAGCCTGGTAAAACTGGTGACACGCCTGGCTGTCCTCTACCTAGCTGACGGGGGCTAGAAACCCAGGGCTCAGAGTACCTCCACAAATGATTCCTGACCAGCCAGGGAAACGCAGTCTTGGCATATTCGACCGTGGTTTAAACACGCCTTACTCAGAGAAAACCTAGTACGCGAACCGCCAAGTGTACAGATCAAGCAGAAATGAATGGTCCATGATTTGTGTAACAGAAGGGCGTCTGACTCACAGAAAGCAAGGTCCCTCAGTTAAGAACCTTAAGCTCCATACAGAAAGTTGGAGCTGTATTTTAGGGAGGTCTAGAGAACGGAGCACCGTGGAGTACCAAAATCAATTGGTGACGTCCAGAAGTGAGAATAAGTCATCGTTGGGACTAGAATGTAAGTCAGTGAAAAAGCAGGATGATTTTCTTTCTCCTGTGAGTCTGATTTACCTTCAACTTTGTGGGGAGCCATCCCTGGGTAAAGGGAAGGACAATTTTACAAGCTGCGGGAGGCTCTGGCATTCTCCTCGGCAGGACCACGAGTCACTGATAGCTTGCCTAGACCAGCTCTTGGGGCCAGTTCACACCACCCTGCGGCACACGTTGGCCATGCTTCAGGGCAGCCAACACCACGAGAGCCTTAGCAACACAGATCAGAAAGGCAGCTTGGTAGAAGGGTTAATTACACAGGTTCTGCGGCTGGCTAGTTAAGCAGTTACTTGGCTTCTCTGAAATGGGTATCTCTCTGTAAAAGGAGGGTGACACTAACAGTTTCACGGAGGGGTTGTCAGGATGCAAAGAGATAACGATGTAAAAGTACTGCTTTTGGTGTTGGGTACTAGTAACTGCACAACAAACGCCACTATTATCACTTGCTTCGCCCGTACTATGCTTTCCTTCTCACTCCCTTTTCTGGCTACCTGAAAAGGGGAGGGTGGTGGCTCTCTTCCTTTGTCTACCATACTCTGTGCTGGACATCTGCCATTGGGCATGAGTCAAAAATGAGGTTGAGGTGGGCAGATATCACAGTCTTTCCTAACGTTGCACAGTTCCTACTGCTAGGGGTTCCCGCCCAGACCCACCCCTAGGTTCAGTGCAACCAACCTCAGACTGGATAGAAAGAGGTTTTATAGCATTTCCATCCACAGAAAGGATGGAATAACAGGGTGATCCCATGTGAAATATTTTCACTAGTAGTTTTTGTCCCTAAACTTAAGTTAATTTTGAGAGAGCTTTCCATGAGGTAATCAGGAGTCTTTCCTTATTTTGCACTTCATGCTGCCTAGTGTCAGAGAGAAAACACACCCGAAATACTGTATTTTGTCTTCTTGACTTGCAGACTTTAAAAGCTTGAGATACTTAGAGATGACCTTTGTGCGGACAGAGTGCTTTGAATTCCCTCCTGCCCCCTGTCTCTGTCTCTCTCTCTCTGAAGAATTTATTAAGTTAATGTATGATGCCCTCACTTAGTTTCTATTTATTATTTCATTGTCAAGTTTCTTTATGGTGTCTAAGTTGTGATTACAGAGAAGTATTATACAATGTCAATGCGTAGATGAGATTTGGAAGGTCTGGGGTTAGGGCGGGGAGGTTCTTTAAATGGAGATGTCAGCTCCAGCCAATTTCAGAATGGCTCACCATGAAGACGGATGGTTCCAAAGCTGTGTGCCTCTGCTAGAAATTAAAAACCCATGGAATACTTGATTATGATTAATTTTAAGTGCTTAGCCATGTGAAGCCAAATGAGAGTATCTTTAAAACAAAGCTATTGGGCTTCCCTGGTGGCGCAGTGGTTGAGAGTCCGCCTGCCAATGCAGGGGACACGGGTTCGTGCCCCGGTCCGGGAAGATCCCACGTGCCGCGGAGCGGCTGGGCCCGTGAGCCATGGCCGCTGAGCCTGCGCGTCCGGAGCCTGTGCTCCGCAACGGGAGAGGCCACAGCAGTGAGAGGCCCGTGTACCGCTAAAAAAAAAAAAAAAGCTATTGATCTAGCTTTGTTTGGAATTGAGAAGATAAACTAATCAGATCCTGGGGGGTCTTTATAACGATGGGGAAAGAGAACTTTTTGTTTTCCATCCTGGGTTTTTAAGCTTCAAGTTTGAGAGACCTGGTGTATCTGCATAAAATATAAATATATATTTTGATAGCAACTATCAGAGTAGAGAGGGGCAATCCAATTCTGTCCTGGACAGGAGTATGATGGAGATGAGGGCATGGTGGGGAGAAAGTTAGGGAGGTGGAGAGGACATCATTTAGAGATCCCCTCCTATGTAGTATACAGGGCATCTCCTCTTAAAGTTAAAGAAACAGAGAGGTGGAGTAGCTTGGCCAAAGTGCCACCACATTCGGGATTCCTCACCCAGGCGTGTCTGACTGTACAGCCCTTCTCTCTCCCCGAAGACAGCCTTCCTGGTGAGGCAAGATGACACCACTCTGAGTTGAGAGAACTAACATGTGGGCTGTCAGGTGGTCACAGCTGTTTTGTGGCAGCTGGTGACTTCCATTTCCTGGTCTCTTCCCAGGGAATTTTCTCATCCTTCTCGAGAAGAAGGTGATATGCTCCTAGCAGCCCTCTCTACAGAGGCTTTTTCTGCAGGCAGGGAAAATCGAGCCTACCCTTCTCAGCTCCAGCCTCTTGCTAAGAGGAGTCCTGGGTTACTAAATTTGGGCTGGCATCCTCTCCCTAGCAGACACACATTTGGTGCCGGTTCCGGGGTCAGAGTTTGGGTGAGGAGAGACCATCAATCTTAGGAATGACAACCCGACCTCTCTGGCTGTGGGTCCTGCCTTTTCTGTACCGGGAATTCTCGGTTTTCATCCAATTTCCAGCAGCTTGCAGCATCAGCATCCTCTCTGATTTCCCGTGATTCCTCTTGGAATTACCTTCCCCTCACACAACGTGAAGAGGATGTCTCCAACCCATTGCTACTGTCTGCGGGGCCAGGTGAAAAAGATGGTGGAAGGAGGACCTTCCTTCCCTTATGGACAAAGGGACATGTTAACGTACTTGTTCTTTCATTTGTTTGACATTTATTCATTCTTCTGGAAGTCAGAGATATGTAACCTGGTGACTACGTAATTTATTTATTTACTTATTTATTTAATTTTCAGGGGGATGCTCAACACATCCTATGCTTATCATTCTGGCTAGAACTGTAGCATCAGAGTTATTTTTAGAAGCAAGCAGTTAACAGAACTTGGAAAGGGGAAGTCACCCCCAAGATAAAGCAACCGTCCCCTTCATTTTTCAAATGAGAAGCTGAGGGTCCAAGCACAGAAGGGACTTGCCCAAGGTCACGCAGCTAACCGAGGGGCTGAGTCAGGACCGAACCGCACGTCTCCCGAAGCAAGTTCTGCTAGGCTGTATTGCCTTCCTCTCCAGGTTTCCCCAAATCAGGGACAGCTGGAAGTGTAGTTGGGGCATGCGGGAGGACAATCAAAATGTTTTCTCACACAATTCAATTTGAGTTTGACCCCAGGATGCCTCCTAGCCGACTTTCCCCCTTGGAAATCAGGTGTCCTTAGCTGGACCCATCTGAAAATCCAGAACACAGAAGGGCGGCTACACATTTTTCCTAGACAAGGTATGCAGGGTGGTCTTCTGGGGAGGGGTGCACCTCCTCTCATCCCCCCCCCCCCCAAGCCCTTGTCACTTTAAGGTTACTGCTTAAAGTTTGGATTTAATCCTGAGATGTGATCTCAAGTGCAACAGCAATGACTGGACTTTACCAGGCTGTTTGGCATTCCCCCTGGTCCCGTGTTAAAGTCGCTTTCTGATTCTGGGTAATTCCAGCCGACCCCCTGGTGCTACCCCTTTCTCATTTCCCAGACCTGTAACCTGCCTCTCCATAAGTAAGCCCACACTCGACGCTTCCTGATTGCTCTGGCAGGCGCTGGGGGTCTACTCCAGCCCATCTGTTTCACCCAGCAACAAATACCGCGGGAGCATCGGGGGAGAAAGGACTCAACTGAGACTTAATTAGCAGTAACCCCAGTTTGTGGGAGGAGAGAAATCCCACTTTGCTGCCTGCAAACACTTTGGCCAAGGTGAGCCGGAGGGATCTCCCGGTTCGCAATTTTAATAGCACTGCAGCAGAAGACACAGAAATGCATCCACACGGACCCCCCAGGCACACACACTCCCCCCTCTCCTCCTCACTCGGACACACACACACGCACGCACACGCACACAAGGCAGCGATCGCAAAATCAACTCACAGGATCTCTAAATCACGCAGCGCTCGGAAGGCTCCATCTTCAATGCAGCTGATGCGGTTGTTGTCTAGTTGCCTGTGGAAAAGCAAGGGAAGAGCATGAAGGCTGAGTGGGGGCCGTGCTGAGGAGCTGGGCAGTCTGGGCCGGGTGTCCCTGGTCCCCCGAGCGCCTGTCCCTCCACCCTCGCCGGCTCTGCTCGTCCCCGCCAGGAGCTCGTGCAGAGCCAGCCTGTCTGCCACGCTGCTGTCTCTCCTCTCTGACTGTCTGAGGGAACTACACAGACGAGCGCACCAAAGGCTGTCAGGTCTCAGTAAATATTAATTGCGCATTTTTTTTTTTTTAGGCAGAAGGGAGTAATTTCATTACATTAGGGCATCCAATCCATTACGAGCTCTTACCGTCATGTCACTGAAACAATTTCATTAAGCTAAAGGCCTGTAAATCATTGGAGGTCACTGCTCTGCCCTCCGTGACCTCCCAGAATGCTTTTTTTTCCCTCTCTCCCTCTCCCTGTCTCCCTTTTACTGGAAGTTGCGGTCTTCTGCTCTGACACAGTGCTAAATCTCAAGGCTTTATCTGCCCAAGAGCAGCGAGGGTGCATGGGGAATATACCAATTCCAAATTAGACTCAACTAATCTAATTTTATAGTCTTTTTATTATTCTAAGCACCAAATGTCTGTGGTGGTTTGATGTCTCTCTGCTTTGTTATGGGGTCCATCTGGTAGGTCATTCTATTGAAGTCTTTTCTGACTAAATACAGATTCCCTCAAACTGCACCAAGCATCATCGACATTAAAGAAATTCATTGATGGAAGCGTTCTGGATGCGGGAAAAAAGGACTATCCTTATTGCCTTAAAGATATACCACTTAAATTTAAATTGGGGAGAATTAAATGCACCTATTTCAGGACTTTTTTTTCTTATGTCCCTTTCCATCTTCTGAGCACGGAAATCATGTCTTTGAAGAAGATGCCTTGACTCATATATATTCCAGCTGGGGACTGAGGTTATTCTAGTTGAAGGATAACAAATAGATTCCACTATCTCAAATGCCTGATGTGTAAGTCAGAAGATTTACCATGACCACACCCCAACTTAAATATCATCTATTATATATATATATAATTTAATTTAAAAAAAGATGTTATATAGAAAATGGTTATTATCACCAGGCTGTCTTATATTTTGTGTGCGGAACACACACAAAATATCATTTATGCTGGGGGCCAGGAGAAAAGCGTGACTGGAAAAAAATATTGTAAAGCGATTATACTCCGATTAAAAAAAAGAAAAAAAAAACAAAAAAGAAAGAAGTGTGACTGTGTTGAAAAACTCCCTCCTAGGCTCCTTTTTCTTTCTTTTGTCTCAGATAAAATCAGCCCCTCTCAAGTGCAGGGTTCTCCTGATGCTGGAATTTTCACTTGAAACTTGTGCTAATCTATTCCAAGACAACTCTCTGCAGAAGATATATCAAAGTTGCCTCTGGTAGCCCTCTTGGAGCATTTTATATTCTGCCGAAGGAAGGTGGAATTACAATTAAAATCCTATTATCACTGAAAAAATATATAGATGCAGGATTGCATAAATACGCAGGAATGAAACACGTAGAATCAGAGTGATGGAGAACATCACAGCAGACGGGCTCTGCCGCGGTCTCATGCGGAATGGAACCATCTCAAAAGACGCTCCCGATACAACACACTAGGTGTTTAGGATTACAGAATTAGCAGGAAATGGGTATCTCAAGAAGCAAAAGCACTCCGTAGGTTGACAAATTCTACATCTAGCGTTCAAAGTCCTTGCTGACGCCAAATCACACGGGATCTCAGAGTAGTTCCTGCTACCCTGAATTCTTCCCTTAACGAGAGTTTACTGAGTGGCCTTTCTGTAGAGCTCCTGTAAGCATTGGGGCCACTGATTCCCCGCAGAGGTTCTGTTAAGGCAGCCTGCTACCACTGCCCAACTTCTAGATTTATCAGCATTTAAGTGCCAATGAATTAACAACGCTTGCTCCACGCCAAGGCCACCAAACCTTACCAAGCAGAAATGCAGTGGAGCTGGCTTTTGGGTCCAAGAAATTGTTCATTGAACATGCTGAATTCGGCAAAAATGGTACCATCCGCCTAAGTAGAAAAGTACCTAAATCATCCAATCGGGAAGTCTGGGGTAGTGCGTAGAGATGGTAGTTTGTGGGGCACCTGCTTTCGTGCAGACATTTTAGAGAGGTCCTGGCTATTAGAATGTTATTTATTTGCCGGATTTGTGAAGCGTTTTCTATTCCTTTTCTTTATGAGTGCACCAGAAACCAAACAGGATACTCTAAATGTACACTTTTACATGAAAAGTATGTAACCTGCAGGGGAGAAGAAGCTCACAGAAAGAAGAGAAAACATGAAGTGGTAGAAAGAAATTAAAAAGGGTGGGGGGGAAGGAGATGTGCAAAAGATTTTAAAAAATCCACTAGTCTGGGCTTCCCTGGTGGCGCAGTGCTTGAGAGTCCGCCTGCCGATGCAGGGGACACGGGTTCGTGCCCCGGTCCAGGGGGATCCCACATGCCGTGGAGCGGCTGGGCCCGTGAGCCATGGCCGCTGGGCCTGCGCATCCGGAGCCTGTGGTCCGCAATGGGGGAGGCCACAACAGTGAGAGGCCCGCGTACCGCAAAAAAAAAAAAAAAAAAAAAAAAAAAAAAAATCCACTAGTCAGTCTGCCACTCAGGATACAGAGCAGTGGAGACAGAGTCTCTGAGAGGACGCTGCTCATTCTAAGGCTAAAAGCAGAGATCTCCAGTACGTTATCAATTATGTGATGTTTAAATAGTTTCACGGGGTGGCACAAGTCGACACCTAGTTCTTCATGAATAATGGGGAAAACCAAGCTTTAATATAAGCATCTCTGTGGGTGTATTTTATAGAGTATTTTGGAACACATGAAATGTATCAAATTTTAAAATATTTATGCTGAAGTGTGCTTTTCTAGAAGACATTTATTATAACCAAGATTGTCTCCTTTCATTCGAGCCACAGATAAACAGTATCCCTGCCTTGGTGGTCAGAGTCCTTCCCAAGATGCATCATTCCTTACAGAAATCTACGGGGTAAAGGCCTGCGAGGGTCCTGTCAGGAAACGAAAACCCAAGTTACTTCACTTCCCAGCTATTACATCTCCATGGCACTGAGCATCAGAGCGTTCATGAAATGCTCATTAATTGTCTGCAATCAATTCTGATATTTCCTGCAAATAATCTAGGTCCCTAAAACAAAGTAAATACACACTTGGATCCGACAAGTTTTCTTTCAGAATTACATCTCAGACACAACACAAGTTAGTCCTGAAGCACGGGAGAGGGGAGGCGAAATAAAAGCAAACCCAGCATCTTTTTGTGGGTGTTGGGAGAGAAGTGAAATAGGCACATAGAGAACCTTCCAGAGCTAAGGCCAAAGCATTTGACTTAGCAGTTTGCTTCTGGGGGTGGATGGAGGCTGCCGACTATGCTCTAAGCTCTCAAGTCAAAGGTCGATATGGTGCCTTTGAAAAGACTCATGCAAAGAACCTCTTAAAAACAAATCAGAAAAGCCCATTGCCCCCTCCACACACCGTTACTCAGGAGGCAGGTGCAAAAGGAACTTCGGAAACGGGAGCACTAAGAACTCAGCCATCTGAAAGTGCCTGGGAGCTCTCTTTCTATTTTTCCTTGGCAATAAGAAGTGTGTTTTGTACTGCTACTGAATCTTTTCTTCTTCTTCTTTTTTTTTGCTTTAATCTTTTCTTCTTGCCACACGAAATAACCTACCCCCATGCCTTGCCTAGTGCCAGGGACTCCACAGCTGGTCACGTATGGCTGCAGAATGAGTCCTTCTAGTGCAAGTGTGACAGGGCTGGGCTCAAAATATATGGAAGAAAGCTCTAAGCCACGAGCAACACTGTTCTGGCTGTGGCCCTATGGCCCCAGCGCTAACAATAATGACGGAGCATTCCCTTCACGAGCACGTGGGGGGGCCGCCTTTCTGCCACACAGATCTCTGCCAGCCAGCATTTGGGAAGGTCGCTTGGAAGAAAGGGAGATTTCCATGGGCGCAGAGTAAAGGTGGAGAGCAGGAAGGCAGTGGATGGAGGAAAGGTTGGCTGTTTATGTTTTGGAGGCGACTTGCATTGTCCTCTTACTTTATACAGAATACTCAATGTGATTTACACTCTCCTGCCTGTGAATAAGGCGAGAAGCCCCCAAACGTTCATGATATTAAATTAACTGCTCTAATTTCCCTGGGCAGCTCAGATTTCGGCAAACAATGCGAGTGCTAAAAGGATACCAGAGTCCATTTAGAAAGGAATCCTCCAACAAGAACTAAATGCAGACTCCCCGAGAGGAGCTTTCTGACTACTGTATTTTTATACTCTGAGAATATAAACAAGTCAGAAAGCAAAGTCAGCGTGAGTGAGGACTTAAAATAATCTCCACAAACAGCAGACAGGGAGATAGTGCTTTTGTAAGAATTCCCATTTGTAAGCATAATGTTATCACAATTCATCTCTTTCCATCACAATTTCAAATTTCATCATTGAAGCAGGATAGAAATATTTCTGCAGTTCAAAGATGAAAAGAAGCACATCTAAATCCTTAAAAAGGGGTTTAAAAAAAGCCTGATTACAGTATCAAGAGGATCTATCTATCTCCCAACCACCACTGCACAACAACAAGAGAAGACGGAAAATTTCATGATTTCAGTGATGCATTTGAGACTCCGTGAGGAATACCTCGAAAATAGAAAGCTCCAGAAATAGGCTTTGGAGAGCTGAAAGAAAAGAAGAATTTCCAACTAGCTATCTAGATGCAAGGTCTACATACCAGGGTACACCTACCCAGATGTTCACTTCTCATCCTGATGTTCTGTGGGTCCCAAGAATCTCAGCCCGTGAAATCGGTAAACCTAGCCTCAGGGCACTGTCACCCTGGGCCCAAAATTCAGCTGCAGTGTTTTGCTATAGGACTGCAGCGACTCTAGCTGCAGTCCTCCTAATGCTAAATGGGAGAAGTAGCTAAAGTTCAGCACCCTTTGGAGTTAAGCAGTTTGCTAAT